AACTACGTGCAGAAAAGAGAGATGCTAGGATAACTGCCTGTGGAATGTTGACGGAGGATGAGAAGGAGAAACACCTTTATTGAAATAGAGAAACCTGGCGCACGCGGCTCACCATGGGTGCCGGACTAACATTCTCGGATCTTTAGAGTGTAGAACAGCAGCAAACAGTTTCGCGTATATTAGCACTCATAATAGACCGCAGAAGGATGTCGTTAGTACGCGAGGATTCTCTCTCACGTATCTGCGCGAACCATGGTTCAGATAGAAGCACGGGTAATTTAATAACAGTAGTAGGAGCTGCATTCGTAGCCGTTTTATGTATAGTAGGATAAACTGCTTTCATGTGAAGAAAGCGTATTGTTGCGTATTGAGAAAGTGCATCCTCCCACTAATACTGTTATACTCACGAGCGCATTGACGCCCATTCATTTACATCGTGATTTTTTACCTTGGAGATTTTAACTAGAGACGCTTATATTACAGTGTACTAGAAACGCTCACAGTATACGTTCTACCTATATATAAAAATAGCTCTCCCGGCTACACCATGTATCTACCTTGGTAACACAGTCGCAGTGCGTTCCAACGATGTGACCCGTAGTAAGGACGAACCCTGCCACAAGTTTTCACGTGAACACCAGACCTCACAGACGGTACGCAAGCCGCCCTCGCCGAACCTATAGAGACAGTTCCTCCTCAGACGTTTCAAGTGTCAACTTCAAGCGTCTAACATAGCGTTCTTTTTTGAAGGAGCTGGCACGTTGAGCCTGGCGAATAGTCGAGGTAGAGGAGTGCCGTATCACCTTACTTGGTTGTTGCTCCGGCTTGAACGCAAAAAATCCTCGTTCCACACCGTTTATACAAGCGTAAAAAGATTGTTTTCCTCCTCCAAAATGTTGTTTTTTTAATAATATACGCGCGTTTTTGGCACTACATCAATAAAACAAGCGTACGTGAACCGCAACGCACTGCCTTCAGTGTGCACGTTGGCGAGGACGTTTCCAACCAAAAGCACGAACGAAGCTTTCCTGTTTACTCGACAGGGCGTGCTCACTTTTCCGCAAATGGTCAATAGGTGACCGCTAATATGGGAAACCGCAGGGAACTATGGGATACGACCGCTTCCGGTTCGACGCACCACGCTGGTTAGCAGCGGCACGCGCGCATTTTTGTACCGCTCCACTGAAAAAAAAAAAAAAACACCTCTCCGTGTAGTTTCAGTGCTTTAGAAGTTGTTTTTTTTTGTTTTTCTAACCGTGATTGTGACAAGGACAAGCTACGAAACGAAAGCCACGAACAGTAGGGAAACTTTTTTATCCCACTAATATATGATCTGCAATGCATTTATGCTGCTCGGGGGTACTGTCCGTTTGGCTCACAGATCAGTCAATGCAGAAAACAGTTTTCATTGTATGATACGTTACTGCTGATAAAAAAAATCACCATTTTAAAAATCAAAGTGCATGGGGATGACTGTAGCAGTGTGCTCAGAGTTCATTTCGGGATCGCTGCTTCGGCCGACATCGTCAGTTGGTCGGCATAAGCGCAGCACTTTTGGAGTGCGTTGAGATATCTTTTTTTTTTCTAGCGTTGAGCGCACTATAAGATGTATTTCTTAGTCGAAGTCAGGTGCTTATTTAAACGGTGATCTTGATCAAGCTGCGCGCCACGGCGGCACATAAACAATACATTCAGACGTAGACGGTGCCGAATAATCGAAACCCTGCGCTTTTTTAACGCACTTGTTCCTTTGGGTGCTGTCCTGGCGCAGAGTTTGACCAAGATAACGCAAATGGACTCGTCCAGCGCTTCGTCTAAACTTACTCTTGAGTGAAGCTTATGCCTTTTTTGTCATATATATGGGTGCAGTGGCCGGTGCTCATCTCGTATGGCAGGCAGATTTCACCCGCGCGGCCCCCTAATATCTTTGCTAGGCGCGCCTGCGCGACAGTTTATTTCTCAATATTATATTGACAGGAAATTCATTCTTAAGCTTTTTTTTTAGTGTGGAATACACAAGTATCTGTGATAAAATTCTTTTCGCACACTCTGGATTTAACGTTCCGTGTATACTCAAAGGCTACCTGTCACCGTGGCTCTCTTCACAGCCGCGGCCCACCTCATTTTTCTTTCTTCGTTTTGTGCCAATCGATTCGTGCGTTTGCCTTTCACGCTCGAGTCGGAGCAGCCAACGGCTCAACAACCCACCACGGTTTATCAGGACGAAGATAAACGGGCAACCGCGCGCGCTAATCCCGAATAATCTGAGGCTTGCGGCGAAGCGGTTCACCGTCATCTACTCTTCTCGAACTGGAAGGCGGTAGCAGACGGTGCATCCCACAATCCCTCGCTCTTTTACTGGTCGCCTATTCCAGCGCATAGCTGCGCGGATCGGTTTTCCGTCAATTTCCACCACTATCCAAGGCTCAAAAGGAAAGTATAAACTAGCACAAAATAGAAATATCGAGCCACCTACGTCAAAACATGAGATCAGAAGTCGCAGCTCTCTGTCTCCTTTGGTTTACAGAACATTAAACACATGAAGCAAATCTTCTCTAGTGAAGCCGTAGACGCCGCTGAGCCAGCTCATCATTTTGAGCTTTCTTTCGCCTATAGTTACATCGCTAGGAACCTAAAGGATTGAACATCGGTAATCTATAATTAGAGAAAATGTGCAGGCGCTTGCAGAACGCCGATGAGAAAGAGGCACGAAGCGAGTTCGGTGCCCAGCCGGCGTCCCTCGCGCAAATATTGGCGGCGGCCAGCGCGGAGGCTATTTTGCAGCCCGGGCCGCTTGCGCCGCGCGCATCGGGCCGTCGACTTCCGGCGTTGCGGCGCGAGCACGGATTCAGGTCGTCTGCTCACTGTCGTGCGCGCCGGAGAGCCGCCCTGTTTGGATGCAAGCGCCGGAAATATCCGCCACCAGACGGATCGAGCGGCTCCCGATGCTGCACTCCGTGCGCGGTGAATTATTGCTCTGCTGAGGCAGAAAACTCCGCGGATGGATCAACCGCGCCCCCTTCCCCACTCGAAAAGAGTACCCGAGGGAGATAAGGGCGAGAGCGGTGGCTCGCTTCCAAATGGGCTGCCGTCGATAGCCTGCTGGCGAAGATCCGCGCCCCCATGACGTGCAAAGGGTTCGCTCCTTGAGCGCTCCCTGGAAGATGGTCGCCCCCACCGACACCACCCCCACTTCTCTCGTTCACGCGCGGCCAACGGTCGCGCGGCCGGAAATGGAAATGGCCCGCGCACGAGACGCCTCGATGGGCGCCTTCGTCGTCGACGTCGCCCGACTCGAGCCGCGACGTCGGCTCCTTGCAATACAGGCGCGGCCTCAATGAAACGAAGCCGCGAACGGGAGTGCGCATAGTGCCATGACCGGCACGGGTTTCGTCGTGCGATCGGACTTTTACTATGCATCCAAGTAGCTTGGGCTTCCTGTGACAGGCGACAGGGCTTCTTTAAGAAGTCATGCAGAAGTTATAACACCGAATCTGAACCAAGGTCGAGTTTGATCGTTCATCCCTTCACTATGTCGACGAGCGAGTTAACATTCGTTGGATCATTTTCGATCAACGCGAAAATGCTAAAGACCAATGTACTTAGTTTTAGGTGTGTAGTGAAACGGACCCCGGTAGTAGAAATTTCCGGAGCCTTCCGATAGTGCATGCCTCATAATTATTCCACCGTTTCAGCAAGCGAAAACCACAGATGTTATCCATCAGGATGGTCGTTGAATTGCCGGTCGCATACGACACGTGGGTCCCGTAGTTGGGGCTTTCCTCGTCTATATGATTCGCTAATAAGAAAGACACCACCTCTACGCATACAAAAAAGCAATTTAGAAGACCAACGTTCCCTAATAACTTCGCCATGGCTTCATCTCACATGTGTTCAAAAATGCGCGCTATATTGGCGTAACTTTCTTAACGATCTCTTGTTGATATTTAGCTGCGTACGCTTTTGCCATGCGCGAAAATATGCGGACTTATTCATGAGTCAATGTGTACCCAGCACGAGCATGAAAAACAATCGTAAGTTACACTGTCCCCAGTAAACATTGTAAAGAAGAAAAAAACGGCTTGAAAGAAAATTGGCAGGTCACAAGCCTTAAGGGAATTGACTTCATGGGAAGCAATAAGCAAGTAGGAGCCTGTATTAGATATTTTGTTTTGCGCCAAGCGTTATGAGGTGGATCAACGTCTTTGTGTATACCTTATATATAGTGCGCACATCGTGGGCTTACCAGGCACGTCGGCTGCTATGGAATGTAGAGGGTAGCTCATGGTTCAACGTAACGTCGGAATTCACGTCAGACCAGAGAGTTAACATTTACCGCAACAAAGTGCACGCCACGGTTCGATGAGGCCCGTATGATAAGTCGAGTTCATAGGCGTATTAGAGCAATGCTTGACTAGAGCTTGTGTAGTCAGTGTTTACAACGTTGTTATAAAGAGCAGATAGCCAGCCAGCACTGTAACCACAACTGGCATTGGCCCGACGCGCACGCTTCTGCAGGATGCTTTCCCAACGAAGTTTCAAGAACTGGGGCGGCTCTGTAGCACAATACTCGACTGCGATGGAGAATGGCTGAGTTCGAATCAGGCTCGAACGCGTATTGTAATTCGTTCCTGTTGTGGCATACCGGCCTGTTGTGACATACCTTGGCTATGCCACTGCGCCAGACCTTAGAGCATGCATACAATGTCCCATGAGCACGAGTAGCACCCTTCTTATCTGTAGATGGGTGTTATGAGGTTTTACCTTTACACTCGGCCACACAGTGAATTTTTCTACTTGAGACAATGTTAGATCATGCGCGTCTTGACAGGAAGTAGATAAGAAGAACGTGCTACCAGCGCGTCTGCAAAGAATCACTCTATATTTATGATGCTGCATGAAAGCGATACAGCGCTGCGGCCTTGGCGTAGTACGATCACGTGCCTGCGTGGTGATACTTAAACGAGACATGGGACAATTGTAGTGCCACTGAAAGTCAGGCTGTTCCGAAGCTTGACATGGCCGAGAGAGCAGCTGCCAGGACAGATACGCCCCTGCAATCAACGCCCATCATCGGTGGACGACACGCTGACGAGCCGCACGCACACCCGTGCGTCGACACCTTTCGGGCGAACCCAATGCTACTCGTGCAGGTACGCAGCGCGCACGGTTCACCATCTGACGAAGACGAAGAAGACCCCGTCCCGCTCTCGCCGATCCTCGCGGCGACCAACGTGACGACGAGCAGCGGACCTATCTGCCGCATTTGCCACGAGGGTGACCACAGGCTTCCGCTGCTGTCGATCTGCCTGTGTTCGGGCACCATGGGTCTGGTGCACTTGCTCTGCCTCGAGCACTGGCTCAGCACCAGCGGTAGCGAGGCCTGCGAGATCTGCCACTACCACTTCAACGTCGAGCGTCGGCCCCGGCACTTCTGCGAGTGGGTGAACAGCGCCAGCGTGCGCCGCGCCTTGGTCGGGGACCTGTTGTGCTTCGGCTTGCTCTCGCCACTGACTTTCCTCTGCGGCGTGCTCTGCCTGCACGGCGCCGCGCAGCAGGTACTACAGCGACGGCTATGGGAATCCGTCGGCCTCGCGGCGCTCGCTTTCATGCTCTTCACAGTGTACAGCGCCTGGACCGTTCTTACCTTCCGCTATCACTACAGCTGCTGGAGAAAGTGGCGCGTGGCCAACCTATACGTCAAGGTGGTAGACCCACCCCGTGCCCCGAATCTCGCTGTTGAACCTGGTTGCAGGGGGTCCAAATCACAGGACGGCGGGGGCAACGCCGTCATCCCTGCCACCCACATGCTGCCGCACACAGGCAGGAGCATCTTGACTTCGGCATCGGGTCTCTATTCGCCGTTCGAGATTTGCTCGCCGAACACAGTGACTTCCGGCAGCACAGTGTGGGAGTACCTCACGTCGCGCCATTGAGAAGAGTGCGGCGCTTTTTTTAATGTAATCTTTTATAATTTTTAATTCGTTCACTTAGCTTTTTATTATCACTGGTGCATAAACATCGCCTTTATGGAAAGAAGCGTGTGTGTCATATGTTATAAATCAATGAACCTCGAAGCCGCCACGTTTTCCTACAGCTCTAGTCTGTTTAGGAGACACCAAGCACACTTCACATCCTGCAGGAGTTTCATTTCTTAATACTTCTGCTTTACTTTTGTTCGTTTTGTGAGTGTCACTATCAACGGCGCTACAACACCATGGACGAGGAAAAAAAAAACGTGACACCACGCCCACACCGTATCTTCCTCATTCCTATTGGGTGCAAGGACATACCATGGCGCCACCATGTGAAGGCATTCCTGTAACATGCATGCAGGGTTTGTGCGCAGCCCGCAGCCTCCCAGACTCCTTCTCTTTCATGGTTTTTGCTGTACTTTACTTCCACGAAATCCGAGAAATATTGCTGCAGCTCGATCTTTGCTGCCTGCACGAAATGCTACATAACTGCTCCGAAAATGTTTTACCCTTCTCATAATGCCTCACTGCAGGCGTCGTCTGCTATAGCCACCTGTATATATGAACACTACGGGAAACAAGTACGCTGCTTCTGTTAAAGGTAAAAAATCATTGTGTCGAACTGAAGAACAAATAGGCATCAACGTGTGCTTGCGGCAAATGAATGTATTTTTGAAGCAAGAAATGCGCGCAATCGCACTGCTGCACTCATTGTAGGTTTGTATCTAAAGGATCTTTAAGTGTTGGGTGCAATACGAAGCACGCAAAGACATTTGTAGAATGTATTATATGCGTTGTGTATCTGATTTCTTTTTATCATGTGGTCCATACTACATCGGTCGGGGCTCTGTCTGAACGATGTAGCCTTAGGGAGCCCGCAAATCTAATGCGCGGATCACTGGACATCCTCTTTGCAAGTCATTGTGCGAATTGTAGGTGCACCCCGAAGTTTGATGAATGCCAAGAAATGGCAAGATATAAGGACAAGAGGGCACGGGAAATATATGAAGCTTTTTTCATACGCTATAAGCAGGAACTGAGCAAGTGCTCCGTCCGTCAATCTGTTGGATAATGAATACAAGCATATTCTCAGTTAAGCTGTCATTTCAAGATTGGAATAAGGTGGTCTGGCGCATGCGCCATCATTTGTCCTTTCTTCTGTGTGTCATCTCCTCGCCCTCTTGACTGTATTTACATTCCCGCCATCTGTGCAATAAAATTGGTTGTGTGTGCTCTGTCCTATCTCTCTGCGCTTTCTTCCTTCTGAAACGTTCCCTGCGCACAAAGGAAGTATATTTCTTTCAAAAATCTTCAACTCGCCGTGCGCTCCATTCTGTTCAGTTTGTCTTTCTCCTCCTCATCCAGCTTTTATTGCGATAGCGATTGTATAAGCACTCTCGGCTGTATTTTGCCGCCGGCGTCGACTTCGTCATCGCCGTCACTTACCGTATATGTATACGTATATATGAAAACGCAAAAAAAAACTATTCTGAAAATTGACTTCGGTGCACGGAAACGAACATGCGACCTTTAAAATGTGAGTGCGAGTAGTTGACCACTGAGCTACGAAGGAGCACCTCTTTCAACGTTCAAAGATTGAGGCGGAAATGCTGTAGGCCCGTGTGCTCCGATTTGGGCGCACGTTAAAGAACCCTAGGTGCTCCAAATTTCCGGAGCCTTCCTAGCTACGGCATCTCTGAAAATCATATGGTGCTTTTGGGACGTTAAACCTCATATCAATCAATCAACGTTCAAACGGTGAAGCTATTTATATCTATCGTTTACCGCTGTTGACGGGCATCTCGGGGGAACTGTTTTCAGCATTATCAGCAAGATGGTGCAATGAGCGCGTCGCCACATCGGCACGAAGCGGTGGCGCGCGTGGGTGGACGCTCACTCGCACACCCTCATCTCGCGGTTGGCTTTCACCGGAGCGATTCTGTTGTAGTTACCGGGCACACAAAGGTCACTGCAATCGTTGCACAGTTTGTGTTTGCGAAGAGGGTACGCTTTTCAGACACAGCGAAGTAACAACTAAGACGCTTATTCGCGTTTATCTGTACCTGTGAGTATGTTTTGTACGTGAGAAGTGCGGAGCACGTTTCGACCACCTACTTGCCATTCTGCACGTGACTTTCCAACTTGTTGCTATCGCATTCATTTATTTGCCTTTGCGGCAAAGCTGTGCCTGTTTTTTTGTCTAACTGCTGCTATACGAATTGAAATGGACTCTTTCGAAATAGGCTTTCTGGGGCCGTATTCCGTGGAAACCATACTTGGTCATAGTCAATGTCCAGGAATACATTTTCAAAATGCTGTCCCACTGATTCCGCACCATGAGCGCATAGCACGCGCAATGAACGCGTTCTGAGGAAGTACCTGACACTGTTCTAAAACGGCTCTACGGCACTTCATCAGCAGTGTCAATAAATGTGCCTTTTTGAAGACGTTGCGAAGTTTTGATTCGCACTCAATGACATGGCTGGCCACCGAAACTCTTCGACATCATGTTAAACGGTGCCGCAAAATCAGTTTGGCGGCGCTGACTCCTGCGTTCGGATTTTGGGTCGAGAACATGCTGATTTTTGCGTAGTTCAACGGATAGGTTCCGGAGGCTTCGTGAACGGGAAATAGGCGTATTATGGGGCTCATTCACATTGCTTCTGCTGTGTTCAGGTTATATATTATTTATTTTGTTTACAGATACTGCTGCCTCAATAGAATAGACGTAGCAGGAGTGGGTGGATGAGTATGAAAATCTAACGGCAACCATACAATGCATATTTTAAATGTATCACAAAATTTTGTTTGGTAATTTTTACACAAACTCTTCAAGCGTTTTTTTTTTCGCAAGAAACCATGTAGGATGTTCCAAATGTCGACAACGCTTAGAAAAAAGCAATGCTCAAATGATTCGCTAATGGCTGAAAAGCAACAATATTGAGTGGGTGGGATCATCGCGTGGCACGCTAAGTAAAATGGCTGAAAGAAATCTGAGCTTGAATGCAACTTTGACCATGCACTACAATTTTTTACAGCAAAGCGATGTACTCAAGCATGCATCGATGAGCCAGGGGTTCTAATAATACAGCGCATGGGTGAGATACAGCAAAACTGTGGTCATAACGGCCTATCGACAGGAAATAAATCATTTTGCTTTCACTTGTATGGCCTCAAGTTATTCATGTCAAATTCAGTGTATGACGACCGTATATTACTGAGGCTAACAACCTTATGAGGGATTTTTAAACAGGCAATTCACAGTCCCTGTCCTTAAGAATTCGTTTTTAAGTATCCCATTTCCTAAGTGCCCTAGCGCAAATGGTTTCAATATGAAGGTGGCACTTTATATTTTGGGTAAAGGTACCTCTAAGGTATTTGAAGATATCCACTAAATTAAAATACTGTCTATTGTAAATATACCTGAAATCAAGCAGCTTTTTTTAAACGCAAAGGTCCGTTGCAGAATTTTTGGCAATTATTATACTCTTTATCCATGCAGTGTTCAAACCACAATTAGACGAAAATACATTGTTAAGACCTTCACGATCCAGTCTTTTAATTACACTGGTGTAAAGCGTGCAGTCGTCCGCGTACAAACGTAGTTTTTCTGATGTGTTCCTGTGCAACGTCGTTAAAGTAAATAATGAACAGTCGGGCCTTAAGGACCAAGCCCTACAAAATGCCTGAAGGAACTGTGGCTGATTATGACTGTGCATGATTAAAAGTTACAAATTGGGGCCTTACGTGTAACCAGCTATCCAGCGAAGTAATTTATCGCCACTAAAAATTTTGCTGAGGTCCCACACGTGTTGTGGAAATAGTTACGTATTTCTATGGAATGCAGAGACCAATAATACGTTATTGTAAATTGCACATTTTCCCTCACGTTAGTAATCCCCCCCCCCCCCCCCACAATTACATTTCACAAGCACAAGTATTTTTTCACCTTGTGTGCGTTTAACTCGCGTCTATTGTGGATCTAATAAAGATATTCAACTCACTCACTCACTCACTCACCTTGTGTGTGTCTTGTCATTGTTTTCCGCGTTGTGTTTGATCCATGTATACCAAGTACCACCTGTAAAGTATCACCAGTAATTATGCAACCGCTTTAGCACCGCATCTGCCAGCCGGTGTAATGCTCGCACACACAATGTACAGAGAGCACACCTTCCACCCGTGTATCGAGAAAGATGTCAACAACGGCCGACGAGTCAGTTCACATTGCACTATCTCCAGAATCGACCCATATTCTGTGCTGACTGAAGAGAGTGAACTACGGCAGGAGCAAAATTACGACCGACGTACCACTGACACATTTGCTGTTACATGCATATTCGTCTTAGATCACTAATGATGTCATTGTGTGCATGCATGTCTTCCTCTTTGTCTGCACTATGACAGATGCCATATTGAGAAGGCCAGTTAGCCACCGTTGCTTACTCGACCACATAGTATGGGCACCACAGATCTCCCATAAATTTCTACAAGCTTTACCTAATACACGCACATATTCACTTATTATGTCTCAGATGCATGGTGCGCACTGAAGCTGATACGTGATCATTTCAAACTCGTGAGCGGCCATTATTTATTAATTGGATGCAATATTTGGTGTGCCTTTATACTCTCCTACCTGTTTTCATACTTATAGCGGTATTTCCTCATAAGGTTCCTGAGTATTTCAGTTAGTAACTTCAAACATTGCTCTTGAAACTGAGAAAAAACAGTCCGAGAGTTACAACTGTCATGAGTGACGGGGCTGGCGAGGTATCAGGGCTGTCGGCAACTGAGGGTGACATGGTCACCCTTATCCAAACTGGCAAAGAGCACCCGAGGGAGATAAGGGCGAGAGCGGTGGCTCGCTTCCAAATGGGCTGCCGTCGATAGCCTGCTGGCGAAGATCCGCGCCCCCATGACGTGCAAAGGGTTCGCTCCTTGAGCGCTCCCTGGAAGATGGTCGCCCCCACCGACACCACCCCCACTTCTCTCGTTGGCCGCGCGGCCGGAAATGGAAATGGCCCGCGCACGAGACGCCTCGATGGGCGCCTTCGTCGTCGACGTCGCCCTACTCGAGCCGCGACGTCGGCTCCTTGCCATACAGGCGCGGCCTCAATGAAACGAAGCCGCGAACTGGAGTGCGCATAGTGCCATGACCGGCACGGGTTTCGTCGTGCGATCGGACTTTTACTATGCATCCAAGTAGTTTCGTCTTCCTGTGACATGCAACCGGACTTGTTTAGAGGTCTACGTGATAGTCGAGTCAAGGATGAGTTTGGTATTTAATCACTTTGCCAACTGAGCTAACGCGAGCAAAAACTAGAGTATTGATATGGGGTTGTTGATATGTCATCTCAGAGTTATGGTGCCACACCAACAAGAGGAATATACGACAAAAGCATGTGAACATGCGTACAGAAAGTAACATAAAAAACACAAAGTGAAGAAAAGGAGTTGAGGCTGATGCTTTTTAAACGACACAAGATTCCCTGAAGTGTCGCTGGTGTCCCTGCAGTGAAAATGGGCCCAGCCGCTGTGGTCTAGTGGCTAAGGTAGTCCGCTGCTTACCCGCACGTCGCGGAATAGAATCCCGGCTGCGGCAGCTGCATTTTCGATGGAGGTGGAAATGCTATAGGTCCGTGTGCTCAGATTTGGGTTCATGTTGAAGAACCCCAGGTGGTTGAAATTTCCGGAGCCCTCTTCTACGGCGTCTCTAATAATCATATGATGGTTTTGGGACGTCAAACCCGTCATATCACTCAATCACTCAATC